TTCTAACAAAGAATCATTTTAGCACTGTTTGCTTAAAAACAACTTGCCCAAACACCAAAAAGTATATGTGATGTTATAATTAGATGTTTAAACATATTCATCACGTCAAAGGCAGGGAAGCTTGGGCTCGGTATTCCCTTTACTCACTTTAAAATTTTCGTATAATGCTTCAGTATGCATTTTCCCCTGTATGTTAAAATATACATAACATAAAAGTTACAATTTAACCATTTTTAAGTGTATAAGTATACTTAAGTACATAACCATTTTAAGTGTATAAGCATTAAGTACTTCATGTTTTTTTGTGCTATTTCAGTATACTTTTTCCTAAAATTATATTGAAATAATTCAATATTTTCATGATTGAGACCCAAAACTTGCATTGAATAAGTAGAGTTGTTTTGGGGCTTATCAATGTGCTTTTAAGAAAAATGATTTTGTTTGTTTTATTTTGGTTAAGGAACTTGCAGTATATCTAGTCTTACAGGGCTTAGGGAAAGTAAATGTCAATGGAAATTTATGGAAACATGTTTGTTAATTTGGTTTATATGAACTTTGTTTCCAATTTTAGTTTAATAAAATATATTAAGGAAGCTGAAAACCTTTTACTGTTGTGAAGAGTCTCATTTGATCATGACTGATATCCTATCGTTCCTAACAGTAGTGGATAAGCAACAATATTGTAGAAAATAATTAAAACATTAAAAAGAAATTTGGTCATTTTTCCTTTTATTTGGAAATGATTTCTAAGTTTAGAAATCAGACCTTATAGCATAAGATTAGATAGAAATTGTCTTTATGATAGAAATATATTAGAAACAGTGCTCAATGATACATGGGTCTTGTGTTGCTTTAACAAGAGTAAAATATTTGTCTATTGCTTTACTAGTTCATGAGACTCTTCTTGATTCTGATGATTGAATACTTTGTAAGGTATTGATCAATTTCAAAAGACAGTAATCCAAAGTGTGAAGTATTATTTAGAAATGTTCAGGGACCATATAAACCCAATTTTTTTAAAATTTAAATGTGATTCCCTTCTTGAGAAATGATAATTTGGAGACTGATGCATAGAATGTTAGGAAGTAGAAAGGATTGAGTTCAATGTCTGACTAATTCTTGGCCTCAACTACAATATAAGGTCAAGCTTTAATTTAGGGGACAGAGGCATGACAAAGCACTATATATCTTAATAAATTTAAAGCTTTTGTTGTAAGCTGCTCTAGGAGAAACTGGTTGTGGGGCAGGAGTCAGGTGGAGGGGGTATCAGTACTTCAGCCTCTTGTCTTAATTCCTGTGTGAGGAGAGTTAGCTTTGAAATAAACTGAAAGACCTTGTAGTTTATAAAAATCTCCTGGAAATATGTTACGGTCATTGGAATCATTTAACTCTAATGAGCTAGACATTGGCTGGAGCACACCTGAACTGATAATATACTTGGTTTCTTTTGGAAAATGCCAAAAGTACCCATCTTCCCAATACATATATAACATAAAGTTTACTGTTTAACCATTTTTAAGTGTATAGTTGAATTGTGTTAGGTGTATAGTGAATTGAATTGACTCTCATTCAATCATCATCATAATAATGTATTTACCAAGAAGGAAAACTGATACGCAACCTTCAACTTTTTCTCATTTGTTTACCTTAATAGTCCTTATTTCCCACCACCAATTTGCCAAGATCTTCTTGAGGGAATACAGATATAGGGGTGTAGGACTCTGGTGGTGAAGAAGCTTAGGAGATTTGGAGTCGTCCATCCTTCCTGTTCACTGAAGCACCATTTCCATCTCCCCTCCTCACAACCTGTCAGAGCCAAAGAATAGTGTGGCTATTGAAAGAACAGTGGGATTGCTCTTTGAATCCAGACATTTTCCTTTCCTGTGGCAGAACCAGAGAAATATCAGAGTCCTGAACCTTTTCCAGGGTATTTTGAATGTACATAATCTTGGCTATAGTCATCAGCAGAGAAGCTAATTATTCATTCACACATGCTCTGGCCAAGTTTTAGCTCATCTGGAGACTTGTAATGACTTTGGATTCTGTCCTTTGTGAGATGAGAATCTAAGAATCATATCTTTTGACTGGTTCCAAGTTTTAGGTGGGATTTTGATATAAATGTAGGAATTGTAGGTCAAATCAAGAAATAAGCATTATGAGGCAGGTGGATTCTTTTGCAGGCTAGATACAAAACATATATTTCTTGAAGGCTCATCATTCTAGGAAGGAATGTCTTGACTTAAGGAGATATTGCAGAGGAGAGCCTTATAAGAGAAAGCTATTCTGACAAGAGTGGTTTTGTTCTTACAAATAAACAGTGGCTCAAATAGCAGAGTGATAGACTGTGGATTAGGCTAATGTGATATCATACTTGGGGTATAGGAACCATATAAATTCATTTAGAGAAGCATTAATTTCCCATTTAATATTTGTTAGAAACTATTAGAGATTTTATCACTCTGCTGACAACAATTCTATTTGGAACATAGCTGCTTATATAAAAATAATTTTTAATGTGAAAGCTCTCATTAGCTTAAAAGGCAAGTCAAATGGTTAGCTTTAAAAGCTGAGTCACAGTCTCATTTACCATCACATTTCACAGTTTTCATCTTTATTTTACTTGGTAGATTAATTCCGTCTCAGCAATGCCATTAGGTGCCTGCCTTGATGGTGTGGAAAAATACACACAAACATCTGATATTTCTGAACATGTGGGTTGTGACGAATTTAAATGTGTTCTAATAGAGCATCTGTGTATAAATAGCTGAAGATTTATAGATGTTTTTTAACTTAAGGATGAGGAAATTGACCACTATGGGATAATTAAAAATATCAACTCTGTAAAAGCAGGAGCTAAGTTGTTAAATGCCAGGGCACCAATAGGCAATATTCTGTAACCTAAATTGGGTAATTTATATCTTTGTCACTTGAAGATCTGATATATATTGGACTTAATGAATCATCCCACCAACATCTTATAGCTAAAGCAAATTTTGTTTCCTTTTCATGGGCAGGGTTTTAGTCAATTGAGTAATAAATTATCTTGTCTTTTCTTTTCTGAATCATTGGATAGGCAGGCTTATAGGTAGGACCAATGAACTGAAGCCCCAGAGAAGATATTCTACCCTGTATTAAAAGATTTCCAATGAAGGATGCAGCTCAGACTACTTTGGTTATACTTTTCAGTATTTGGAATAGTAATTTCATGTGGTTGTTTTAAAAATATTTTCAATTTATCTCTGAAGATTTGTCTGAAATGTTCAGAAGTCAGGAATGAATTAACTTCTGTATAACATCCAATATCCTGTTCAATACCTACTCATAGTCCTACAGTTACTGGGTGTATAAGGCAATGCTCCTCTTCCTGTGAAAAGCACAACCTTCCAAGTGCTTACAGTTTATAAAAATTGTCATGCACATTTTCTCTTTTGAGTCTCACAATGACACCTTGTTATATAAAAAGATTACTAATTCCTATCAGAAATTAAGATTGAGAGAGGTTAAATGACTCACTCAAGGTCATATATTTAGGGAGTGAAATAATTACAACTCAAGAACATGGTGGCATGTGTCTGTAATCCCAACTACTCAGGAGGCTGAGGCAGGAGAATTGCTTGAACTTTTAAGGTGGAAGTTGCAGTTCACTGAGATCATGCCACTGCACTCCAGCCTGGGTGACAAAGCAAGATTCTGACTCAAAGAAAAAGTTATTTTTGCTCCAAGGACAAACAAGGTACTTTGCACTCTACATTTTGCTGACTCTTTGGTATGCTTATAAATCTGGGCATGGTAAATATGCATTACTGTGCTTTTGGAACATTTGTTCCTGGGACAGTCATGTGAATTGGGATGTGGTTGGGAGCATCATTAATTGAGTCAGTGGTCAGAACAGAGACTTGTATAAAGAAATATCCAATTTAAATGACGTCGGTCAGATATTCAGTATAAATGAATTGGGAATGATAGACACAGTGGACAGTCCAAGAATGAAGTAAAATCTATCGTTTCATGAGTATTCGGAGGACCGGAACTATATTTTAGGAAGGATGATGGGTGAGAAGGCCTATATGCAATCAAGAAGGAAACAGCCTCAAAAAAATAATAAACCTGCTTAAGATACCCTCATCTGAGTGGATGAAGTTTGATGCCCTGTTGGTCACAGAAGGGTGAAATGGGCTGAGGAAACTGGGATTCTATAACACTAAGATCCAAAAACACTTCCAGAAATGGCATTTGCAAGGTGCAAGTGTTCCCTGTAAAATCTCTGACAAAGGGCTTTGAAATTTAACTTACATTGGAAGAACCTTAAAAAGTTAGTAGAGCCATTCATAATTCTGTTTGGTTAAAGTTGTGCCTGCTAATAACATTACACTGAAATGCAGGTGTGAATTCCTATAATGTTAATTGGAATAGTTTACCTCAGTCTGAAGATGTGCTCAGATGAGAACCACTGGCTATTGTTAGCTCTCAATTTGACTTTCAAGACACTTCAAAATAGTTTGAGAAAAAGAAAGTGATTTCTAGTTATGCTGTTAAGTACTTTGTGATACAAAGTATGTTAAGGTAAAACCTTTTATTTAAATCAACTTTAAGAGAGACCTCTATAAAAGGTTGTAAAGTATAAATGAGGAAACCTTTAAAAAGAAATATAGCTTTATTTCTTTTATATATCTGTTGGGAGTTAAGCTAGGTAGTTGAGCACGAGCATGAGGTTCCTAAGAAATCTACTTGAATGAGCAAATTAGAGTGATTTGTACTTCATACTTGATGTCGTTTCAAAGACCACACAGGCACTTGAAAAATAAGTTTTTTCCTGAATCTGATAATTTCAACTTTCTTAGCAATTTCTCATTTCTGAAAAAGTGAAAAGGTAAATTTTAGGCGAGCTTCTGTTCAAATAATCACAACATGTGAATGAAGTTCGAAGATTTCATAGAGTGTTAATGAATTTGTCTGTTTTCTAAAGGAAATTGATTCATTCTTTTCAAATTATTTTACAGGATCCTTCAAACCAAAAATGTGGTGGAAGAAAGAAAACCGTGTCTTTCAGCAGCATGCCATCGGAAAAGAAAATTAGCAGTGCAAATGACTGCATCAGCTTCATGCAAGCTGGCTGTGAGCTGAAGAAAGTCCGGCCAAATTCTCGCATTTACAACCGATTTTTCACGCTGGACACAGACCTCCAAGCTCTTCGCTGGGAACCTTCTAAGAAAGACCTCGAGAAAGCTAAGCTTGATATTTCTGCCATAAAAGAGATCAGACTGGGGAAAAATACGGAGACATTTAGAAACAATGGCCTTGCTGACCAGATCTGTGAGGACTGTGCCTTTTCCATACTCCATGGGGAAAACTATGAGTCTCTGGATCTAGTTGCCAATTCAGCAGATGTGGCAAACATCTGGGTGTCTGGGTTACGGTACCTGGTTTCTAGAAGTAAGCAGCCTCTTGATTTTATGGAGGGCAACCAGAACACTCCACGGTTCATGTGGTTGAAAACAGTGTTTGAAGCAGCAGATGTTGATGGGAATGGGATTATGTTGGAAGACACCTCTGTAGAGTTAATAAAACAACTGAACCCTACTCTGAAGGAAGCCAAGATCAGGTTAAAGTTTAAAGAAATCCAGAAGAGCAAAGAAAAACTAACCACTCGTGTGACCGAAGAGGAATTTTGTGAAGCTTTTTGTGAACTTTGCACCAGGCCGGAAGTGTATTTCTTACTTGTACAGATATCTAAAAACAAAGAATATCTGGATGCCAATGATCTCATGCTCTTTTTAGAAGCTGAGCAAGGAGTCACTCATATCACTGAGGATATATGCTTAGACATAATAAAGAGATATGAACTTTCTGAAGAGGGACGCCAAAAAGGCTTTCTTGCAATTGATGGATTTACCCAGTATTTATTGTCATCAGAATGTGACATTTTTGATCCTGAGCAAAAAAAGGTCGCCCAAGATATGACCCAGCCATTATCTCACTACTATATCAATGCCTCTCATAACACCTATTTAATAGAAGACCAGTTCAGGGGACCAGCTGACATCAATGGGTATGTAAGAGCTTTGAAAATGGGCTGTCGAAGCATTGAACTTGATGTAAGTGATGGTTCAGATAACGAACCAATCCTTTGTAATCGAAACAACATGACAACACATGTCTCCTTTCGAAGTGTCATAGAGGTAATAAATAAATTTGCCTTCATCGCTTCTGAATACCCACTCATTCTTTGCTTAGGAAATCACTGCTCCCTGCCGCAGCAGAAGGTAATGGTTCAGCAGATGAAAAAGGTCTTTGGCAATAAGCTCTATACCGAAGCACCTTTGCCCTCAGAATCCTACCTCCCATCACCAGAAAAATTAAAAAGAATGATCATTCTGAAAGGAAAGAAGTTGCCTTCTGATCCAGATGTGTTAGAAGGAGAAGTAACAGATGAAGATGAAGAAGCCGAAATGTCTCGAAGGATGTCAATAGATTACAATGGTGAGCAGAAACAAATCCGGCTCTGTAGGGAGCTCTCTGATTTGGTATCTATTTGTAAATCTGTTCAGTACAGGGATTTTGAACTATCTATGAAAAGCCAAAACTATTGGGAAATTTGTTCATTTAGTGAAACAGAGGCCAGCCGCATTGCAAATGAGTACCCAGAGGATTTTGTTAATTATAATAAGAAGTTCTTATCAAGAATCTATCCGAGTGCCATGAGGATCGATTCCAGTAACTTGAATCCACAGGACTTTTGGAATTGTGGCTGTCAGATTGTAGCAATGAATTTTCAAACTCCGGGTCCAATGATGGACCTTCACACAGGCTGGTTTCTTCAAAACGGGGGATGTGGTTATGTTCTAAGGCCGTCTGTCATGCGAGATGAAGTTTCTTACTTCAGTGCAAATACAAAGGGCATTGTACCTGGGGTGTCTCCTCTAGCTCTTCATATCAAGATCATCAGTGGTCAGAATTTCCCAAAGCCCAAGGGAGCTTGTGCCAAAGGGGATGTCATAGATCCCTATGTTTGTATAGAAATACATGGAATTCCAGCGGATTGTTCAGAACAAAGAACTAAAACTGTACAGCAAAACAGTGATAATCCTATTTTTGATGAAACTTTTGAGTTCCAAGTAAACCTACCTGAGCTGGCCATGATCCGTTTTGTTGTTCTGGATGATGACTACATTGGGGATGAGTTTATAGGGCAATATACGATACCATTTGAATGTCTGCAGCCTGGATATCGGCATGTTCCCCTGCGCTCTTTTGTGGGTGACATCATGGAACACGTAACCCTTTTCGTCCACATAGCAATAACTAATCGAAGTGGAGGAGGAAAGGCACAGAAGCGTAGTCTTTCAGTGAGAATGGGGAAGAAAGTTCGGGAATATACTATGCTCAGGAATATCGGTCTTAAAACCATTGATGACATCTTTAAAGTAGCAGTTCATCCATTACGAGAAGCCATAGATATGAGAGAAAATATGCAGGTAGGAGAAAAATCCCATACTCTCCTTCCCTTCCCTGCTCATTCCTACTCTTCTAATGTTTTATTAATTATCTGATTTGCAAAATTTTTCCAGAAAGAATGTTTAAGTCTGAGTGCAGTGGATCATGCATGTAATCCCAGCACTTTGGGAGGCTGAGGCAGGTGGATCATTTGAGGCCAGGAGTTCGAGACCAGCCTGGGAAACATGGTGAAACCCTGTCTCTCTTAAAAAAAAAAAAAACAACACAAAGATTAGCCAGGTGTGGTGGTACACACTTGTAGTCCTAGCTATCTAGGAGGCTGAAGTGGGAGGATTACTTGAGCCTGGGAGGTCAAGGATGCAGTGAGCTGTGATTGCACCAGTGCACTCCAGCCTGGGCAACAACAGAGCAAGACCCTCTCTCAGAATAAGAAAAGAAAGAAAGGTGTGTAAATCTGTGTACCATTGAACTAAGTTCAGTATTGTCTGTGATCAAACAGATATATTTTATGTTTCTAATTGTGAATGCTAGGTTAACTTTGGACTGAACTAAGATGTAGCAAAATGCTGTATATCCATGCATATATTCTAGTACAAAACAGAATTGATATATGGAAATGTGCATCTGAAACAATGGAAGTAAAGTAGAATGTACAATATATGTGTGTAATATATACAAAATGTATACAAACACACACATACTAATTACCACTCTATATATAAGGTATTTGCAGATATGAACATGAAAGAGAATTTGAAGTCATATAAAACAAGTGTGATGCCTATTAGGTTATTTTTTAGTTTTAAATTATGCATAATGACAATAATAATAAATTACTCCCCATAAGAAGAAGTAAAACTAAACAAAAAAGTCAGCACTCAGACTTGCTGAAAAATATTTAACCTTGTCTTAGAAATGTGATTTAATTGAAAGAACATAGGTTCTGGATCAAATCTACTCCTGTGCTATCTTGAGCAAATTATTTCTGGTCTCTGATTATCAATATTCTCCATAAGGTAAGAAAACTAGTTATACTTATCACAGAATTATTATGAGAGTAATATTAGAGTATATGGAAATTGCCTAGTCTCAACATTTAGAAATTCAGTGTTAAGTTTACTTGCCTTCATTAATGCAGATTATAATCTGAGACAGTTGTAAACTTAAAAAAAAACCTACTTAATATACTTATTAGGCTAGTGCTATTGAGATGCAAGCAACAACAGATATTTACTGAGTACCTACAAAGTGCAAAGTATTATTCAATTCACTTTATTTATTTCTTTAGCTGATGTGTTTATAATAATCCTAGCCCAAAACCACTGTTTTCAATATAGAGAATAAACTTGAAAAGATTAGTGCATTTCTCAAATATTGCAAGTTAGCAAATAGCCATGTTAGCCTTTTAATCCAGGACTGCCAGTATTTAATAGAACAACAGGGTCACTATAGTTAATAATAACTGTACATTTTAGAATAACTTAAAGAGTCTAACTGGATTGTTTGCAACTCAATGGACAAATACTTGAGGGGATGCATACCCCATTCTTCATGATGTGCTTATTTCACATTGCATGCTTGTATCAAAACATGTCATGTACCCCATAAATATATATCTACTATGTACCTACAAAAGTTAAAAATTAAAGAAAATAAATCTAGGATTGCCTAGTACCAAAATCCATGACCATTATCATTCAAGTGATGCAGAACCACAAACTCAGGACACAGTTAAATACTTGTGGTAGGTTGCCTTAGCCACCATTTAAAAAATAGAGTCCAAATATCAGCATATTCTATGTAACTTTTTCTGAAATAATTCTAGTACTATTATAAATCCCTATGTTACATTAGTTATAAATCATTTCTACACTTTATAGATTAGACTTTACATATTTTATGTAATTCTTGAAATATGTACTTTGCATATTTTATATTATATAAAAGGAGAGTTGGTTATAAAGTGTATCCAGGTAGCATTGATATTCATATTATCTTAACATAAAGTCTTTGGGGTTAAGGATTATTTGGAGTCTAATCAGTAGAAAAATGAAGGTGATCATTGTTATGAAATTCATGAGACACATAATAAGGTAGGTACTGTTCACTGCTGGTAAAATGTAAAATAGTCATGATTTCTATTTCAAATGAATTTTTTGAAGACTAACATGGGCAAATGTAGCTCTACATGTGTGTGTCTCTTGTCAAGTAGGTGCCTTTCTGATATGACAAAGGAATGCCATTGATTAGTCAGATGGAGGGTGGTAAGCAGTAGCATCCTGCTACCTTGAGGGAAAAAGCCCAAGCAAAATGCATTCCAGTATACAACCCCTGGCTTTATGTTTTCCTGATCAGCATGATACAAATAAAACATGACATTCATGATCAGCCAGTACTTAGTTGTGTGAATACCCTAGTGCTCTGCTTTGAAAAGCACTTTGTGGCCTTGTGTCCCAATCTGCTTTGCTTTCATGGCATGTTTGTGGTGACTGCTAAAAACTGAGAAAGATGAAGTGTAATCATGAATTAGCTCTCTGTACTATCATTTAAAAATGAATATACTTTTCTGTAAACCTGGGAGTGCTGGGGTGATGTGTCAGGTGGTCAGAAGTGTGATTCCATGTTTCTCCCTCACAGAATGCAATCGTGTCTATTAAGGAACTATGTGGACTCCCTCCAATTGCTAGTCTGAAGCAGTGCCTGTTAACACTGTCATCTCGGCTCATCACCAGTGACAATACTCCTTCAGTCTCACTTGTGATGAAAGACAGCTTTCCTTACCTGGAGCCTCTGGGTGCAATTCCAGATGTGCAGAAAAAGATGCTGGCTGCTTATGATCTGGTAGGAAATTGCGACTCCATATATTTTTATCTCTCTGTGTGTGAAATCATAAATAGCGGGACTCTTTTGTGGAACTCCAATGAATAACACAGAGTGACTACCTTTGAAACATGGATTGGAGGTAGCATGCAGAGCCGGCCCATTCAACTTCCACTAAGTCTCAGTGGAGACCTCTGAGAAAATGACTTGAACCTGGAGCTCCACAAGTTATCAGTGGAAAAGCTCTGCTTTAGCAAAAAATGAATTATTAAACAAACCCTCAGAAATAGGTACATCCATCATCTAAATGACTTTAGACTGCAATATAACCATTTAATTGTGTACCTATGACAATTAAACATGTCTCAGTGCTGCCTTATGATGGTTGAGACAAAATTTATATGGAATCTGTATTTCTAAGCTAATCCCTAGAATGTACCCCTTATCCTCATGGTCTGAAATGGGTGCTAAGCTCCAGCCATGATATTTGCATTCCAACCATCAGAAATGATAAAAAGAAGGAAGACATACCTTTTTCCTTTAAGGACATTTCTCTGAAATAGAATAGATCATGTTTGCTTATATTTCATCAGCTCGGAGTTGACACATAACCACACTTAATTGCAAAAAGAAAGGAAAATATCATTTCAAGGGGCTATATGCTAAATCTTGTCTCTTCTGTTACTAACAAATAAGGGGAGAATGGATATTAAGGGACAACCAATAGTCTGCTATAGAGGTAAACAGGAAATTCACTTGCCTCCCTACCCAATAACAATGAAAAATTAAGAACATTTAACCTTAAAATAAGTTTTTAATTAGAAATTAAGAAAATGTAGTAAGATATTCCCCTCACCATTAAATTGACATTTTTTTCCTCTTTAAAAATAGTACTTCTGATCAAGAATTTAAAGAAATGGATACTCTCATTCATCTACCTCTAGTGGAAAAATAAAGTGATATAATATATCTTGGAGAAAAAATTGGCAATACAATTTAAAATGCTTATTAATTTGATCTATAGAGTTCCTTTTCTTGGATTTATTCTAAGCCAGTAGAGATGCATAAACATTTATGTTAATAATATCAACATAGAAAGATTAGCTAAGTGAAATATAATAATCTATATTATAGATTCCTTTGAAGATATTAAAATCTTGTGTTAGAATACTTAATGATATAGAGAAGTCCTTACAATGTTCTATAGAAAATTTGCAATAGGATTTAAATTACATCTATGTGTATGCACCTAAAATGCTAGCAGGTTATTAATAGTGATTGTTTTTATATGAGAGTGAATTTTATTTTCTTGTTTATACTTTGCTATATATTTTCTGTATTCACGAAACTATAGTGAACCCAACTAATTTTATAATTGAATAAAATAAACCTTAAGGAAGAAAAGAATAATATTTTATCATTAAAAACAACTAGAAGAAAGACATTTGAGATAAACATTCTATAAATGAAAAAGAAAAAGTTCCACAGGACGTGTGCTGCTTATGAATGACCATACCTGTTATAAACTATACTTCATGTTTGCTAGGGGAAAAGTTTACCTATTACACATATCTCATTTTTCATGAAATCAATTTTTTCATCATAAAAATGGTGACTGAAAGCTATTAAGTGAATAGGTATAATTTCCATCTAAGAGGTGAAATTAGGGTACTAGTTGCCATAGAGACAGACAGTAGAAATCACTTATTCCTCCACTTCTCTTTTAAGCTAAGAAAGAAAAATCATTCATGGTGAGGGAGCTCCCTAGAGTGGGCCTGTGATAAGCGGAAGGATACCTGGTCTGGGGCTGGGTAATTTCTATTTCACATCCCTGAGTGTCTGATAGTGTCCTGTTTTTTTTTCAGTTTTATCTGCTGAAGCCAAAACTGAAACATTAGCCTTTTCTCATCTGTATTATTAAAATGCAAATTGTAATTGCAGGCAGAGCATGGTTTTCCAAAGATTTTTTAAAAAAAGGCTACAGTGGAAGCAGAAATACTTACAATGAAGTCTTTCATTTACAGTTCTCTATGGAAAACCATTTTGGGATGGAATTGAGTGTAAATATTCCTATACCACTTGGTAAACTCAATAGAATGAAGAAGTGATTAAAAACACCATTGAGATCTCTGTTGAGTATTTATTTTGAGGAATAGGGTGGGTAGGGACAGACACATGTAATGAAAATATTGACCTTGAAATTAAAAGACCATTTTTACATTCTAGGATTTGCATTGTATTGGTTGGTATCTGTAATGCTCTTGGTGTATTACTGCTTGTGTTAATTTTAAAGAGGTCTTCCAAGATCTCTGCAGATCTAGAGTGAACATTTAAAAACAGATCAAGGGGCTGGATGTGGTGGCTCACACCTGTAATCTCTGCACTTTGAGAGGGTGTGGCGGGTGGATCACTAGCTCAGGAGTTTGAGACCAACCTGGCCAACATAGTGAAACTCCGTCTCTACTAAAAATACAAAAATTAGCCAGGTTTGGTGGCATGTGCCTGTAGCTATGTGGGAGGCTGAGGCAGGAGAATCGCTTGAAGCCTGAGGCAGAGGTTGCAGTGAGCCAAGACTGTGCCATTGCACTCCAGCCTGGGTGACAGAGCGAGACTACATCTCAAATAAAATAAAATAAAATAAAAACGTAGATCAAATTAAGTTACTTTCTTGCTTAAAATCCTGCGGTGGCTTCTTATTAAAATAAAACAGAAACTCCTGACTGTGACTTTACAAGGTCATTTATGATTTGGCCCTGCTTGTCTACCTTACCTGCCTCTCCATCCTTGCCCAATCTCACTAAATCTCTCAACCTCACCCACCTTTCCAGCCTCACCTGCCTCTCCCAACCTCATTTGCTTCTCCAGCCTCACCTGCTTCTCCTAACCTCGCCTGCTTCTCCAGCCTCGCCTGCTTCTCCCAAACTCAACTGCCTCTCCAGCCTCACTTGCCTGTCTCACCTGCCTCTCTAGTTCCACGCACCTCTCTCAACCTCACCAGCTTCTCCCAGCCTCACCTGAATCTTTGGTCTCATCTGCCTTTCCTAGCCTACCTGTCTCTCGAGCTTCACCTGCCTTCCCCAACCTCACCTGCCTCTCTAGTCTCATCTGCTTCTCCGGCTTCACGCCAACACTCTATTTTACTCACCTTCTTCCAGCAACATTGCCTTTCTTTGCACATATTTATGGGTATGGTGTGATATTTCCATACATGTATACTTTGTGTAATGATCAAATTAGAGTAATTAGCATATCCATCACCTCAAACATTTATTTCTTAGTGGTGAGAACATTTGAAGTCCTCTCTTCTGGCTATTTTGCAAGGTGCTATACTTACCACTATACCACCAACACCATCTTCTAGCTATTTGGAAATATACAATATATTATAGTTAACTATAGTCACTACAGTGCTATGGAACACACTAGAATTTATTCCTTCTTATCTCTTAATTCTTAGCTCAAATGTCATTTTCTCAGAAAAGCCTTTAGAAGACATATGTGAGGCCAACACATGAAAAAATGCTCATCATCACTGATTATTAGAGAAATGCAAATCAAAACCACATTGATACCACCTCACACCAGATAGAATGGTGATCATTAAAAAAATCTAGATGCTGGAGAGGATGTGGAGAATTAGGAACACTTTTACATTGCTGGTGGGAGTGTAAACTAGTTCAACCATCGTGGAAGACAATGTGGAGCTTCCTCAAGGACCTAGAAATAGAAATTCCATTTGCAATCCCATTACTGGGTATATACCCAAACAATTATAAATCATTCTATTATAAAGACACATGCACACGTATGATCATAGCAGCACTGTTTACAATAGCAAAGACCTGGAACCAACCGAAATGCCCATCAATGATAGACTGGACAAAGAAAATGTGGCACATTATACACCATGGAATATAATGCAGCCATAAAAAATGATGAGTTTGTGTCCTTTGTAGGGATATGGATGAATCTGGAAACTGTAATTCCCAGCAAACTGACACAAGAACAGAAAATCAAACACCACATGTTCTCACTTATAGGCGGGTGTTGAACAATGAGAACACAGGGACACAGGGATGGGAGCATCCATCACATACTCAGGTCTGTTGGCGGGGGCAAGGGAGGTACAGCGGGGGGGGTGAGGAGGTTGGGGAGGGACAACAACAACAACGAAAAAGAAAAGCCTTTCCTAACTACTGTCCCCATTCATCCCTTTGTCACATAGCCATGTTTTATTTCCATCTTTCTGCTTAGCAGTATTGAAAAATATTTGTTTGAAGTTTTTAATTTCTGTCCTGTTTTATCCCTCAACTTGAATGTACACTTTTTGAAGTCAGAGACTGTGTGTGTCTACTTATTACTGTCACCTCTAGCACTCAAAACAATGTTGGCACATAGCATGTTATCAAGTAATGTTCATTGAATAAGAATAATAAATGAAAGCATCTATTGATAAAAATCATATAGTTTCCATCCTATAATTGAATGTTTTATAATAAATTATTAAATCCTCTTGGTTTTACTCTCTGACACCACCCTTGCTGAATTGTTCCCTGTCCTATATTTGGCTAAAAAACTTACAGAGTAAGGCAAAACTATGCAGACAGAAAAAAGATTATTATTTGCCAGGGGCTTTGAGTTGGGCAGGGAGGAATGAACTGGTAGAGCACAAAGCATTTTTAAGAGAGTGAAACTGTGCTATCTGTATGATGCTGTAATGGCAGATACACGTCATTATATACTTGTCAAAAGTCTACAGAATGTACAACACCAATCAACCTTAACTAATAAGCATGTATCAATATTGGCTTGTCAATTGTAGTAAATATACCACATTAATGCAAAATGTAAACAGTAGGGAAAACTGGGGGCTGGGGGTGGAGTGAGAGGATGGGAACTCTCTCTATTCACTTTTTTTTTTTTTTTTTTTGAGACGGAGTTTCGCTCTTGTTACCCAGGCTGTAGTGCAATGGCATGATCTCAGCTCACTGCAACCTCCACCTCCTAGGTTTGGGCAATTC